ACACACACACACACACACACACACACACACACACACACACACACACAATCTCTTTCATTCACATTTCATCAGCAGTCCTTATAAATCTGGGCAAACAGATTTCTCAGAATTGCCTGGACAGTGCAAGGCTCTTGACATGCCAGAAGCTAAGGTGTTTCTTTTCAGTGGAAAGACTGTGACCCCCAGGAAGTAGGTTCCACCCCCGACCAGAGGAAGTTCAAAGCTTTGACCCCATGTGGCAGCCCTGGCTCTGTGAGAGTCGCCCACTGCTCCAGAGGAATACAAGCAGCTAACCCCATTGCCATGGAAAAGAAAGACTATTTAATACAACTTTCTGAATCTGGGGAGGAGACGGAGATGGCAATTAAAAAAATATATATTATTTTAAAATGTTTCAGCTTAAAAAAAAAAAAACCTACCAGTGTGTTAAAATGGCTTAAGAAGAAATGAGAGGGGTTCTTTGTGGAGCTAAAACTGCACAAGTCATATCTTCTTGGGGCTCAGTGTGCTCTGCGGTGAATTCCACTGGGCGTGGTTGGCAGCTTCACCAGGCTGTTTCTCTGTGAATAGGAGTCCTGGTTATCCTGTTCAGATCCCCAGCCTGTGGAGGTGGGCATGGAGGCCTTCCTGGGCTCGGCTCTCAGGGCTCAGCAGTTCCCAGTGTGGTCCTTCACTGTGGCCTCGGAACTTCTTCAAAATCACAAAATCTTGACAATGGAACAATAGCCATCACTAATGACAGCTGTTGCCTTTGTGGGCCCATCCCACAGAACTTAAAATTGAGGCCCAAAGAAGTGGGAGAGGCACCACATCCCCGACCCCTCAGAGGCTCCCTGTGAGCCTAGTACAAAGTTGTAGAGCTTCCTGCTTCACCCAGATCCTGTGCATGGCACCCCTGAGCTGGCCAGGGACCATTGCTTCTCTGACTGCAGGTTTTGAAGAAGCTCTTATCCCCGCCCTCTTCTTTCTTAGAAGTCTCCCAGCAAGATCAATCATAAAAGGGGCTTTCATGCCTCCGTCCTTTGCTGCCCCATCTCCAGCTCATAGACATGTGAGACCTCAAAAACCAAACTTCACGGGCAGAATGAGCTACAAGAAAGACCTTGTTTGCCATGATGGGTGGATGGCTAGAACCCCAGGCTAACGCAGGACTCCGGGTTGGGCTGTGCCAGCAACCCTGCAGCATAAACCAGGGCTCAGAGGCCCATGCCAGGGGTGCTCATAGTAGAAGCCAGGCTGGCACCAGGTAAGGGTGTACCCTGCTGATAGTAGGGACCAAAGATGTTGCCACTGTGTGCAGATAGCAGGATAAAGAAAGGGCAGGAAGGCTAGGAGAGGGGCGTCCGTAGGGCTGGAACCAGAAACCAGCGTCCTGGCTGGGCCAGGACAAGCCCCAGGACCCTACATACCTAGCAAGGATTTGGAGCTTCCCTGTGGGTGACAGGAGCTAGGAGGGGCTCTGCAAAAAGCCTACAAAAAGAAAAGTGATATACCACATAGGGGCGTGACAGGGACAGGACAAGGCAGGAAATGAGCCAGGGAGGAGTCTAGGCACAACCAGAATGGCATCCTCAGGAGGGAGCTCTGGACACTGGGGACGGTGCAGATGGATGACTCAAACCATGGCTAGCACCCACGGTGTGGATACAAAGGGTGGAATCTGTGAGGCATGAACAAATACACTGTTTTTGTGTCACTGGTGGCCTGTCAGCATGCAGGAAATGGCCTTCATCCCAGAAAGGCCAAGTTCATGGGAGAGAGTCATCTCTTTGCCATATTTCCCTCTTTCTGAGTAGAAAAAGGAGCAACTCAGCTAAGAGAGACTTACGTCGCGCATCAAAAGATAACAGCCTGGTCCTCCCCCATACACAGGGACTAAAGGGCATTTACCGCAGCGATCCAGGGAGAAGCATCCAAGGGAAATGTCTGTTGAATGAAAGCGGGGCTAAGGGGTGTCTGTGATCCCCGCAGTCCAGAGCTGGAGACGGAAGGAGGATTTCAATTCTGGGCCATACGACGCACAGGGGCCTGGGACCGTAGCCCAGTGTCAGACGACTCTGCTTTGATGTAAGAGGCTCTTGGTTTGATCCCCAGTACAATCGAGGGAAGGGAAAAAGAGAGCTACGATAAAGTTAGACTTATTAATTATGCACGAGGAGGGGATTGGTGACAATAATAAAATGAAATGATTAGCAGTGAAAAAGAGCCGAGACTCACAGCAGGGCTGTGGGTCTAGACCAGGCTGATGCAGGAGACACTTTTGCCAACCTGCAGGGCCGGGGCTGGATGCTGGCGGCATCAGAGTCACAGCGCAACCCGTTCACATTTTGCTTCGACACCAGCGATTCGAAGCTGTTGCCTTGTCGTTTTGATTCCCACCTTAGATCTGGTCGTTCGGCCCCAGATCCTCATTCCCCCAAGACTAAAAGGCAATCTTTTTTTAAAAAAAGAAATCAATGAACTTGAATTTCATTTTCCCATAACAACTCTGTGAGGTGACTAGAGACTGGCCCTGCCTCTGTACCCTGGAACGACATCCTCACTTTTGTATCAGACGCGACCCCCCCCCCCCCAGCCCTGCAGGCATGGAGAAGCAGATGGGCAACTTTTCACCTAACAAAGGAATGAAGCTTTTCTACAGCCCACGTTCGCCGACCAAATGAAGAGATGCCCCGTGTGGCACCCGGAGCCTGAGGTTGTGAAAAGTAAACATCATTTCCGAACAGCGAGGAAATGGGTGCATGGAGCCCAGCATCTCCATGGAAACCAGTTGCCGCTCTGCTGCCTCGCTGCTGCTCTTGTGCTTTTTTTTTGTGCATGCACAAGTGTGTTCATGTGTGTGTGGCTACATGGGTGCGCATGTATGCGGGAATCCAGGGGGCAGCCTTAGGTGATGCTCCTCAGGAGCCATACGTCCTGGGTTTTTTGAGGCAGCATCTCTCACTGGCCTGACGCTCACTGCTCACCTTGTAGGTTAGGCTGGATGACTGGTGAGTCCTAGGGATCCTCCTGTCTCTGCCTCCCCGGTGTTGGTGTTAGAAGCACATGACAACCCTTAGCTGTGTCCACGAGTCCTAAGGAGGCTTGAACTCAGGTCCTCATGCTTGCTTACATGCACGTTGCTCACTGAGCCAACTCCCCAGCATGGCTTCCATGTCTTGCAGGTGGTTTTCAGCAAGTACTGCAACTCCAGTGACATCATGGACCTGTTCTGTATCGCCACCGGCCTGCCTAGGTGAGTGGACCAGAGAAGGGCGAAGCTGCAAGTGGGGGTTCATGGGCAGAGGAGTCTCCCCCACCCAGGGCTTCTGCTGTGATTTCCCTCAAATCAGTGAAGCGAACCCCACAGGAATCCAGCAGCAGAATCCAGCCACCGTGTCGAACTCCATCTTCAGAGCTGGGTTTCCCCTTCCACGTGTTCGCTCCGTGTTGAGGAAGGGAGGCAGTTGTTTTGGAGTTGCCCAGGCCTCAAATAACTCTAAGTGCCTTTGCCCTCAGGGGCGTTGTCCCCATCAGCATTCTACACGCAGGCTTAACCCACTCCATGCGACGGCTTCAGAGATGTGTTAAAAGCAGTCGCCTAGCCTACAGAATCCTCAAAATCCCCCCACACTTCCCTAAAGTCTTTTCCTAAAGGCTTTCCTAAAGCCTCTACTAGCATGGGGATTTTCTAATTACAGGCTGAGTCTCGCTAGTTCTCAAACCCCAAATCCCAAGTTCTCCCAGATCTGGAACAGTGTTAGCATTGACCTGGCACCGAGAGTGGAGAATGCTGCACTTGACCTGGTGTGATATGTCCATCAAAATGCAGAGTGAAATGCGTGGTTTATGTTTTTAGGCACGGGTCGGCTCCACACAGTATCACATCCCGTATATTCAGGTAGCCTAACATCTGAAAAAAAAAAAAAAAAAATTCAAATGCGTCTGGTCCTGAGCATTTTGGATAAGGGACACTTGGCCCATTTTAGCATCTAAAGATGGAGTGGCGTTGGATGGAGATAATTTTAAAGTTCGGGTCAGGATCAGTGGAGGTGAATGGGACAGAAGGATGATGAAAGCCTTTCACAAAGCAGCAAGGAAAGCCACTGAGAAGCTGAAGCCTGATCCCAGAGGCTATGGCAAATGACCGAATGCCGCAAGAGCAGCCGCCACACGGGCAGCTTTGGTCAGCGTGGCTCAGTGGCTCAAGATCTGTAAAACATTACGCTGTGGGACCAGGGTGTCGTTTCCATTGTGCTGGTTTGAAAGATTCACAGCCCTCTGGGGATGCTGAATCTCAAGCTCCAGTCCCAGGAAGAAAAACCTGTCTCAAAATCCAAGGTGGACGGTGCCTGAGGAATGCCACGGAGGTTGACCTCTGACCTCATTCTCCCGCACAAGAGTGCACTCATCCTTATAGACACAAATCAAGATGCAATGGTAAAGATTCCCAGTTGAGGGCCAGAGGGCTCAGCTCACTTGGCAGAGGTGACGGCTCCCTAGAAGCCCCTGGATGAGAGGCTGGGAGGAGACCGGTTTGGACTTGTTTAAGTCCGCTCTTCGGGAGAGAACTGGGACAGTCTCTGGGCGGTTCTCCAGGGGCCCAGACGCAGCAAGGTAGGCGGTGCCTCCTGTCTCTGATCTAGGTTAGTTAGCTTCCTTAACCACCCGACTCAATAAATTCGCCTTGCTCCAATTCCCACTCTAAATTACTGAAGAATTAACAGGCTCTTCGGATACACTTGCCCTTTTCGCTTGATTTGCTCAGGGGGACTGAGGCGGGGAAGGGCGTATTGACAAGAGCCAGCTGGCCCTGCCTCCCCTCAGCCAAGGTTACCTGGTGGGCAATCCTCAGGTCCTGGTTCCTTTGGGCTCTGTCACGTGGGGCCCATGTGCAAGCTTTGTGGGGGGGGGCAGTGCTGACGTTTGTGTTTTGCAGGAACACCACCATCTCCCTTCTGACCACAGACGACGCCATGGTTTCCATCGACCCCACCATGCCTGCCAACTCAGAGCGGTAAGCGGCTCTTCCTGGGGCTTCTGCATGCCACGTGTGCCGGGGAGCTTGCAATTTGGTTTTGTTTACTACTGCTGAAAAGTGTGAAAGTTTCAGCGGAGACGGGAAGAGGCAGATGGGAGGCAGGAGGAGGAGGCTCCGTGCACTCCTCCTCCTTGTGAAACCATGCTCCAGTTCTCAACAGGGCCCCTGTGAGGAGGCCATGTGCAGACAGGGAAGCCGACGCACGGGGGACTAGGCTAGCTCCAGCCTGAAGAGTCTTTGTAGGAGGACCAGGGATCCCTGAGGACTTTGTCTCCCCACTTAAGCCCTTCCTGGAACATTCTGTGTGTAGGAAGAAGGAGGCCGGGGCACAGAAGGTCAAGGGTAGCCAGTGGCTGCGTGTGCACTCGTGAAAATGAGTAGGATGGCTGGGGCCAGTTATCTGTAGACTCAGGGAGGACGTGGAACAGGGCCCTTGAGTTAGTGATGTCACTCTTCCAGGTGGCCTGGGAAGTCCCTAGTGTCCCTAGAGTCTCCATGTCGTATGTGCAGTTCAGCAAAATAGAACTTAAAATGCAGCCTCTGGGGCTGGTGGGGATGAGTCAGCTGTTTAAGGGTACGAAAGCCTGACGACATGAGCTCAAGCACAGAACCCGCGTGAAGATGGACAGAGAGATCAAACTCCACAAAGTTGTCCTCTGACCTCCTCCTCTCTCTCACACACACACAATCACACAAATCATTAAATACACTCTAGGAGAGTATGGGGGTAGACAATGAGCCATTGGAAGATGGCCCTCAGGATCCTCTCTGCTCCTCCTCACCATTACCCCATAAGCCTCAGGGAGGTTTGGGGACCTTTGTCAATCTGGTTATTACGGTCCCTGCCATGAACCCATGGCTCTGAGCCCACAGGAGAAAGCAGAGAGCAGGCAGACCCACCACAAACAAACACCCTTGGTTGTTCCATGTAAGCAGGGAAATATTTGAGTTCACAGAGAGGTCCATTCGGGACCTCCACCCACGCACCTGAGGGGTTCCTTACCTGATATGGGTAACCTGAACACTCAGACACGTGGGAACTTCATAGCTCGTTCCTGCTGTCAAAGGTCTGCGCACAGATCAGAGGGACCCCAGTGAGCTTTCTCTTGTCTTGATGAACTGTTACCCGTGATGCTTGGCCTTGGCCAGGTCCCCACACTAGGGATCCTCATCAATTCTCAGCACAGGATGACACCATTGTCCCCTCATCCTGCCCCCGGAAGTCAGTGTTCCAGGCAGACCCACCGGCCCTCACACTGATCCAGACTCCCCCAAGGCTCATGGCTCATTGGCTCACCAAAGACTCCAGTGATTGTCACATACGTGTCATTTCTAACCTGCCTGACCCAGAGCTCCATCAGGAGGAAGGGACTGAGTGGCTCCTCACCTCAACACCCAGAATCCTAAAGTGGCCACGTCAGGGCTGGGATTTCTCTCAAACTTGTGCACTGTTTGTGTAAGCAGGGTCCAAGCCATGTAGGTTTTGCTGAATTCGGTTATAACAGTTCAGCCTGCAGAGAGATTCAAACTGTTCAGGGAACAGAGAACAATCGCCTATCTGACCCCAGGGCCTCCTGAACAAGAAAAACACAACAACAACAACGCACACATACACACACACATGTGCCTTTCCCCCAACCCTCTATCCCTCCACATCCCACACCTCCCCACCCCAACCTCCTCACCACCACCGCAAGCCCGAATGTGCAGAACATTTGTGGGATGCTGAAAACCACGTCTCACCTGCGCAGAGGGATGGAGATGCATAAGGCTGGGTGGGTGTCTGGTGCCATGTGTTGGGGTTACAGAGGTGTGGCTACGGAGACAGAGCTAGGTACGGAGAAGGCCGGGTGAAGCAGGAATGTGGACAACCCATTTGTGACCTAAATGGCCGAGGTCTGTTGGTGACCACATGCTGTGTGGGTGCATGGAGTTGGGGAGGTAGCAGGTATGGGCATGGTAGACAGTGCCTGCTGTCTCCAGGGTCTCCACATCCTCCTGCACTTCCGTCTCCCTCATCCCTTCTTGCCAGCTTCTCCACCTGTCCGGAATAGACTCAATATCTCCTTCTGAGCTTGTGTGCTGAAGGCTCCATTTGTGCCAGACATGTGGCTCTTGGGACATATGTGGCCTGGAACTCTCCCATCCTGGTCTCCTTGGGGGTTCCTGACCTATGGGCATGCTTGTTGCCCACGTGTCCACTCGCCCACCCTGGTGGCTCAGTATAAACCAGGTCAGCTGAACAGCGCCTTTCATCCCCTATTGTGCATTGAGACTGGCAAGTTCTTTTAAAGGGACCAGGTTTACCCACAATCCCCTCTAAGATTTATTGATCCAGACCTTTGGAAATCTCTGCAAAGGGTTCTAGAGTGCAGAGAAGCCGGGGTGAGAACCACATGCCGAGGAGAACCTCCAAGACCATTCTGGGCTGTGATCTGGAAGTTCTGCCCTCTGAGCCCAGGTGGCGCCATTCCCAGAGGTTACAGGGTAGCCTCTGTGATCTGTGTGACCCCCCTCCCACTTCCTCAAAAGCACAGGCCCACTCCTACCCCCACCCACCGTTCTAGGTGGCCTCATCTGCTGCCTGATGACTTGTGTCCCTGTTTTTAAACTTTCCTCATTTCTGAAGACCATGCAGCTTTTCTGCTTGGACACGGTCACCTCCCACCCCGTCCCAGCCTCCCACTGGTGGAAGGCTCCTGGGGGAAGGGACCTGGCTGTAGGTAGCAGCTCTCATTCACACACTTGGATCCTGTTTGCTGTTCACAGAATGGATTCTCCATGACTAGTCTCACAGGTTTCTAGCCAGCCACTTCCATCCTGGTCAGAAGGGCAGCTGTCTCCATCTCTCACAGATTCATGCTTTCTGGCTCTCTCTCTGCACCTGCTTCAAAGTGGTGAGATGGAAGGCCAGTCAGCTTCTGCTCTCATTTGGAGCTGGCCTGTTCCTCAGAGCCAACAAGCGAGAACAGACCTATGGGAGCCTGGCCAAACAGAGCTACAGGTTTGGGTTGCCCTCAGAGGTCCTTCTCCCATCTGGCTCCTTTCTCAGACCAAAGAACATTCTAGGTTTAGCAGTGTCCATCTCTTGGTGCTGCAGCTTGGACCCTGCCCTTACTGTCTTGCTGGGGAAAGGGGAACAGATGCTTAAATGGTGTGAGGAGAGTGGGCCATATGGAGCAGCATATGGAAAGAGGAGAGGGCCAGAATTGACACCGCACACTTCTGACATAACACAAACACATCTTCGCTTTCCGATTTTAGCCAAGTTGTGAGACATGCAGCTTTCTGCTGGGTAAAGCAGCAGGGTGCCAGAGAGGAGGGCTATCCAGCCATCTCTCTGCTCAGTGCACATGCCTCCTACGGAGATGCCCAGCTGGCGCCAGGCTCTTGCATCCGGAGGCACTTGGAAAGGAAGCCCAGTGCCCAAGCAGTTAGAACGCAGAACAGACACGCAATGAAAGTCCACGGCCATTTATCACCTCCAGAGTGGAAGGGGGTTATGTCAGGTACATTATATCAACAGTGTCGAGGAAGAGATCAAGGAAGCTGTAACTCAGTTCAGATGGAGCCAAGAGCGTGTTCAGTCCCGGAAGACATGTCAATGGCTCTATAGAACTGGGCTGAGAGGATTTGGGAACCAGGAGCCAGGACTAAGCAAGAGGCCATGAAATGTAGCCAGGAAGCTATGCCTGTGGTCTCTGGCCAGGCCCTCTTTATGTCTGGCCAGTGGCATCTGCCTGCTGGTTACATTCAGACCAAAGCACCATGGCAAAAAGACAGACAGCATAACAGTGTTTCTGTCCCTTCAGAAACCCACACTTGAATATGGGACATCATTGCCCATTCATAGGACCATTTAGGCCTTGTTCACTGCCAGCTCCTTCCACAGTGGGCTCACAGAACAGCATGAGTGAATGAGCGAGTGCAGGCCTGACAGTCCCTGGGCTCTGATGTCTTCCTAACGTCATTTGTAAGACTGAGGGTCAGGGGTGTGAACTCTCACATCCTGCATGCAGCACCTCTGCAGGCTCTGTCTCTCTTGCCTTGTAGGGAACATATCAGGTTACAACTTCTGCTAAATGGTTGATTGGGGGGGGAAAAAAAACCTCAACCAATCAACCGATCTCTCTTGAGATCAGTTAGCACTGTTGCCTGGTTTCCACTGGTCTCAGAAGCCTGTCCCTGCCCCTAACCAGTGGTCTTTCTGTCAGTTTAAAGCCTTTCCCTGCCATCCCAAACAACCAGTGTCCCCTGCATGGCTTCAGACAGGCCCCTGAATAATGGGGGATGGTTTTGACAGGGTAAGTGGCTCCAGTACAGACCTGTGAGCTCCGACAGAAGCCGGAGGGAGCCGGTTTGCACTGGTTTGGGATAGATGTGGGCAAGAATGTCAGGGTCCTCTGGTCCCACCTGATACTGTCTCTCTGGTTCTTAATTATGTTGATGATGGCAGAAATTTGCTTCTTTATGATCGAACGGGGAACATTATGAAGGAGCTTCAGTTAGACGATACAGTTTTAAAAATTAGATGCATCTGAGTGAGAGAATTCAGTCCAGACTGGGGGGAAGGGGTATCGGAGTGTAGCTCAGTGGCAGAGCATGAGCTTGGAATGTGCAGGGCCTGGAGTTCCACTGAGGCTCCAGCACCTCAAGAGAAAAAGAAAACAAATCACCAAGCTGAGCCGCTGAATTGAAAAGCTCCCTGGGGACAGCTTATCGCTGGCAGCAGCCAGTGCCTCTGGCTGCCACTCACTGGGACGCTCGCTCTTCTCTTGCAGAACTCCTTACAAGGTGAGACCTGTGGCCGTCAAGCAACTGTCTGGTAAGGCCCTGTTATCACGTTTGAAATGGGGGGAGGGAAGGGAGAGGATTCCAGCTTTCTCCACATGATGGAATGCATGTCCGGTTTAGTGTTTGATTCTGCAGGATCTGAAATCTGGTGCTCTTGTCCAGGTGTCCCGTCCCCCCCCCAGTTCCCACCCTGACCCAGAGAACACGATAGGTAACGGGTGTCATTCCACCTCATTCTACCTGGGTTCCCAGACCCACAGCCATCTCCATCCTGTGGGCTGCAAAGTCAGGCCGCCAGCCCACCGGGTTTCCCAGAGTGCTTCAGCCAGGCGTAGGATTTCCTAAGAATCCTGTTTCCTTTTGGATTTAAAAGAAAAAAAAATCACTTCTATTTGTATGTGATTTGTGCATAATAAAATGTTCCCATTTAAGTGTACAACTGGATGTGTTTTGAAAAACCTGTATGCTGCTGTCATCATCGGGAAGACCGAGGTTCCCGTGACCATTCCCTCGTGTCACTTGCTCCGCTACCCTGGTCCACAGCTGGCTTACTTTTGGACACCATCCAATAGATGTGTCTCCCTGAGTTTGTGTGAGGCATTAGGAGGAGGCTTGTAAATGTTTCTGTCCATCCATGTCCTTCCCTGGTCCTCAGGAGTGTCCATCTTGCCTCCTGAGGTGGGGTCTCTCATTGTCCAGGGTCTCGCTCACTAGGGTAGGATGCTGGCCAGGGAGCCCCAGGAATCTTCCGGTCTCTGCCTACACAGCCCTGGGTACCTCGTGTGCCTACCCAGCATACCGTGTGTGTGCCACCATGCCCAGCTCTTTGTGTGGGTTCTGGAAATCAGACTGGTCCTCATGCTTACACAGCCAGCCCTTTACCAACCGAGCCATCACCCCAGCCCCTTTCCAGAGTTTCTTACGGAAAAAAAAAGTGACTCAGGAACTGACTCAGCAGGATGCTTCTGAGACCCACTGGTTTTCTAAGCACTGACCATTGCATCTGGTAGTTGCTAATGGTCATCCTGCACCGGATGTTTGTCATTCATCTCTGGCTGTACATTTGGGTCGTTTATTACGAGTCAAGCCGCTGTGAGTTAAAGACTTGCGGGTAAGGCTTGAGTGGGACTGTGGGGTCATGAGATTAAGTTTTATTCGATGGGCGTTGGTGGAACATGCCTTTAATCCCAACACTCAGGAGGCAGAGGCAGGTAGATCTCTGTGTGTTCCAGGCCAGCCGGATCTACAGAGCGAGTTTCAAGACAGCTAGGGCTACAGAGAGAAACCCTGTTTTGAAAAACCAATTCCCGCCCCCCCCCAAAAAAAAAACCCCATAAAACAACCATAAAAACCTGCTCTTCTCTTCTCTGATGTCCCCGCTCCAGCTGGCTCCCTTCTCGGCCCTCTGCACTGTCAGCATTTTGCATTCCAGTCACTGCGATGGCTGAGGACATGGAGTGTGCCGTGGTTTTTAATGTATGATGTTTTTTAAATTTAATTTGTGGTTCCCTAATGATTACTGCCTGTGGGTGTCTTTGAGGTATCTGCCTTATGTTTATTTTATGGCATAAAATAAACATAAGAGCTCTGGTGAGCACTTTTGGTGAATTGTAGTTGCTGCTCCTGCAGTTAGCAAGTTGTGAAGCTTCCTGATGCCCAGAGTCACACTTAGTGCCTATTCCAGTTGCTGTGATAAAATACTCAGACAAAAGCAACCGAGGGAGAAAGGGTTTATTTCGGCTCTCAGTTCAAGGTCATACAGTCCATCAGGGTCACGGGGCGGTAGGGAGGTCAAGGCAGCAGGAGCTTGAAGCTGGTCACACAGCAGGCATAAGGGCCTAGGTTTAATTTCTACCGCTACAAAAAAAAAATTTTTTTTTAATATCAATTTCTAGTGTCTTTTAGTTCGTAAAAATTATAAATGGCTTTTGTGCTAGAAAAGCCAATCCTGGTATTTACCACCATCGTCCCCCCAAAAAAAGTGGGGTTTTATGGAAGTTTAGAGCCAGATGGGAGTTTGGTTCTGACTCATTAACAAAAGTTAGAGCATCGTGTAAGCAGAGCCTCCTGGGATGTAGGGGCTGAGCTCCCCGGAGGGTCTGTGTAGGCCGGGTCAGAGGGCACATGTGAGCAGCCAGGACTGTGCTGCCGAAGCTCTTCCCGAGGCTGGGATCATGGGAGTTGCAGAGGACTTTGAGAAATAGACAGCGCTGCAGTGGACCAAGGCCCATGCGCATCCTGCTTCATGACACCAGAGTGACTGCACGGGGAAGGAGGCATCTCCTCAGTGGGCCAGGGTGAGACAGAACCAGATTGCACCCGTGGCACGCCAGGAGTGTGAGCATTCTTTAAGGGAGGCAGTGTGGCTTCCAGGATGCCAGCAGGGTGGCGGTAGCCAACAGCAGGGTGCAACTGCAGGGTCCTGAGAAAACTTCCACTTAATAGAAAAGGTCAAGACAGCTGGGTGGGTGGCTCACACCTTTGGTCCCAGCGCTTGAGAGGCAGAGGCAGGCGGATCTCTGTGAGTTTGAAGCCAGCCTGGTCCACAGAGTGAGTTCTAGGACAGCTGGGACTACTGTCCTAGAGAAATCCTGTCTTGAAACAAACAGAAACAAACAGCAGAGGACTCTGCTCTTGGAGACAGAAGCAACCAGGGAGATCTGGGCCAGGACGGGGTTTTCTCTGCCCTCCAGATCAACTTGGGAGTGCCAGTGTGAACTCTGCAGTAAGTGCTGGCTCCAAAGGCACTGGTCTGCCCCTTCCCCAGAGATGCCAGCACCTCCCTCATGGATCATCGTCCCCGTCTCGGTCACGCCTCTGGTCAGTCTAACAGACTCTGGGTGCCAGGCACACATTCTCTTCCAGTGCACCGGTATGAGGGCAAAGTCGGTATCCCAGGGACAGCTGAAACCAGAGGGCAGAAAAAGGGCTCTGCGGCCCCTTGGAGCTGGTTCTCGGGCGTTCCTGATCCTTCTACCCTCCGAACCCAACTTCCACACTCCACTCCGTGCCCACCCCACCCCCCCCGGCCTTCACCCCAAGGCCAGTAATTAATCCAGCCAGACAGCCTTGGGGTTCTGGCCTGTCAGAAGCTCCATTTGCTCTCCCTTCCCCCAACAAACAGGCCGCACTCACCACAGCCTAATAACTCAGGGGAGGAATGGGAATTCCAGTTCCAGCACTGGCCAACAGCAGCATGACCCCTACCTGCTCTTCTGGGTTGGGGGGGGGGCTCCCCTCCTGCCAAGGGCCAGAGAATGCTCCACTAGATCACCTATGGGATTATGCCTTGCAAAAAGACATCAATACCCAGGAGATGCTCAGAGGAGCACATCCTCCAGACCTACAGTGACTTCAGAAGAGGGGGCAGGCCAGTCTGGACCACTGAACTGTAGAGGCCTCTCTAGAACCTCTCTTGAGCCAGGCAAGCCCGCCTGAAGTCTGTCTGCAGATGTGGCAACTTCTGGGAATACGGAAGGCACCCCGAGCCTGGGATTTCAAGATGAGGCTGGGTCACACAGACTTTCCCCAAAATAAGAAGGGAAGGCAGGAAAAATAAAGAGGGGGAGTGGGAGTCCTTTTCCCTAGTCCTGGAGAACAGTCCTGCTTCTCCTTTTATGAGGGAAATAAAGTTACTAGCTATGACAGAAACCATAGGCAGGCTTTCAGACTTTAATTTTTTTTTTTTTTTTTTTTTTAATGTCAATGGTTCTCGTCCAAAACGGTGCTCATCCTTTTGGAAGACCTTCCTCCCATTGTCAGTTGTTTTTTTTTTTTTTTATTTTATTTAAAGTAGTTCAAATTTCTTGATGGTAGTGTATGCTGTTGTGGTTGACAGCGCGCCTGCCTGAGAGAGACGTGTATGTCGGGACAAGCGTCCTGTCAGTCCTGAGACCTCAGGCCCACAGAGAAAGCACCACTGTGCGGCCCTAAGAGAAGCAAGTTTACCCTGGTCTGAGCTGCCCTCGGGTGAAGGTATGACTGCCACACGGCGCAATGGCCGCTGGCAACCAAAGTCCTGCTTCACTTCTTACCCAAAGCGAGATGCAAGGCAAAGTGTGTCAGGCTTTCTCAAGCTGGTGGGGCCTATGTCCTGTGCCCTGTGTCCCTCCTGGAAGAGCTGCTGTGCCCATGGTTTTCTCAAGCCACAGCAGCTGTTGACCACTGAGTCACACTGAACCTGGGGATGGCACCTTTAATTTCTGAGCCAGAAATGGCCCTGCAGAGGGCTTGAGGCTTCTGTATGCCCTCCTCCATTTCTAGGCTTCGCCAAGAGTTGGATAGACCGTGCAGCCAGTCTCCCAGCCTGATGTCCAGCTGGTTACAACAGGTGCCATGGAATCCTTTTCATCGGCACGCGCCACCAGCTCCCCCTGAGTATGGCCACAGTGCTCTGCCTCCAGGCTAGAGTGCAGGGGAGGCCCAGAGCCTTGCTTAGGGCAGCTTCATTGCCACCTCTGCTTCCAAAGGACAGAGGGCAGGGTACAGGTGGCAGGTGGCCAGTCATAGCTAATGCTCAGAATTCCCGCTGGGGACAGGCAGCCTGTTCCGAGGCACGCATCCTCCCACTTCCTTGTGGAGGGTAGAGGTGGGCCTTTGCTGGTGATCTAGGAAGACCAGGTCAAAGGGTCCCCGTGTACCTTGCCACATATGCCACCGGTGGATGCCCAAGAATGGCACTCCACCCTGCACCTCCTCCCACGGCTGGGTGCAGACAGTGTCTCAGTGGCAGCTCTCAGAGCCCCATCAGGTGCCCCGGGAAAGTTCAGGAGTGTCTGTGGAGCATCACTCGTGAACTCCAGGCACCGCCACGCCCAGCATTCTGCCACCTCCACATGGCCTGGAAAAGGCAGCCCTGTCAGTCAAGTGTGCACACCTATCTTACCAGACAGGATGAGGGGGATCCCTCGGGAATTTGCATTCTGCTTTCTTCTTTGCTAGAGACACGTAATTGGCTTGCTGTCACACCCACGCTTTGTCTGGGGGCATTTCGTTACGCATCCGTTGCCTCTGTTTATGTTTCCATCGCCC